GAAAGAACAGGCTTAAGTTAAGCTGGTTAGTAGCAGCAGCTGAAATACTGATTCCTGGTTCAATGCTCTTACTCTCTGCCTGCCTTTATAGACAAATATGCTCATAGGTTCTTCGGATACTCAGTGAAGGACTGCTGCACCTCAGGTACCTGTAACCAGAGACAGAAAGGGGGAGCAAAAGCCTCAGTAAGACACTTGGGAGATGGTAGGGCTAGAGAAGAACATTCTTTCTCCCAATAAGACCCATCTGAAGTTTGGGGAAGAAGAAGCTGCTCTGTGGAAATAATGAGCTCATGTACACCAGGCATAACTGTCATTCTCAGAGTGGATGGTTGTAAAGGCAATTCCATTGAGATAACTTCTTCTTTATTCCTGTTTATAATGCTGCCAATTTTGAGTTTGTTGGGCTCTTTGGAAAGATTTTGAGAAAATACACAAGGCTTTCAAGAAATAAAATGTAATATAGTGATTAAAATGTCAGGGTTTGGTTACAAACATAGTTGAGTTACAGTTTTGGCTGTATTACTTAAAAGTAACCTTTGGTCTAGGTGAGCAATAATGTTAACTCAGAGCCTCAGTTTCCTTATTTATATAATGAAGGTAACTGCTCAACTCATAGGACTGATGTGAGGATTACAGAACACACATGGTGTAAAGAACTTAACTTTAGCATTTTCTGGCACATAGTAAATGGTTAATAAATTTTATTATTACTGTTGTTGTTAATTTGCCCTGGAATCAGTCTCTATTCATCTTCTATCATATTCTCACACAATAAATTTTAGCATAACTCCCATCTACCCAAACTCATTATGTTACAGCTTTGCTCAAAAATCCTTAGTTATCTCATCTAGTGTTCTGTAATCTGATGTGAGGTGTGGCAAATAATTTGTTGATAATATTTTAAACATTGACATTGGAGGATAATTTAAACATACTATAAGAAGTTCAGATTTTTCCTTTCAATCCTGTCAGTCTCACTTGTACTCATATTTGCTTTCTCAAGTGTGAGAAAAAGGAACTAGGTGTATCAGGAATTGAATACAGCCCTAGTGACTCCCTTGAGAGTATGTCATATGTGGCCATTATCTTTCACATGTGGCAACTGATAACTAGTCTACAGAAGAAAACCGACTTCTTAACAGGGGACTTGAGACTTTTCACAGTGGGTCCTAGCCCAGACTCATCTCCAACTCTTACTCCCCACTAGTTTCCGTTTGCCTTGACTGTCCCAAAACAGAAGCCATACTCTTTCCTGCTTCTTGTGTATTTATCCATCTGTTCCTTCTTCTTTGGTTGCCTGCTCTGCTACCTTCTCCTGTTGTATAATTTCATTTCATTTCAAGTTCAAGGCTGGTTGCAAATGTTACCTCCTCTTGGAAGGTGAAAAGTTGTTTTTTTATTCATCTTTTTTTTTTCTGGCTTTCTGTTTGGATGAATGAATGAGGCCCCATACCCATTGAGCAGCAATTTGGCTGGCTTCCCACAGCCTGCACTATCCCTTAAGATGATGCGTTGCTACTGCTTTTCTCTGGGGTCACCTGTCTGCCATCTGGGAGCCCTGTGCCATTGAATGTCACCTGAGGAAGGCCATGCCAGGTGCAGGTGGGGTAGTAGGCAATGCCTGCTGCCACTACAGAGTCATGTAAACGCATTCCAGTAATTGCACTGTCAGGTCTTTTGATATATTGGTGTAATGTGAATAGACCGAGACTGAAAATCAGGAGAATTGGGGCTTCCAGTTTAGATTTAGGGCTATCAGTTATTTGGGAGCAGCCACTGAGCAAATCACGTCATCTTGATGAGCCAGTTTTCCTTTCTGAAAAATGGGCCTCATCCCTGACCCCCCTGCCTCTTGATGATGTTATGAGGTTTAGATGAGATCATGTCTGAGAGTGCTTTGGGAATTGAAATGCTGGCAAAGGTTTCTATGGCTCTTCTTCATCTTTGGGATAAAGGCCGTATGTCACTCTTTAGTGTCCCATATAGGCCATTGCTGGCTTTGCTTGTGCCTCCTTCTTTACCTTCATCTTTGAAAACCATACTCTTCTTCAAACCTTTCCCTTACACTGAACTGTTGACAGTTTCCCTTACAAGGCAACTGTTTCTTGCCTCAATAATAATGCCCCCTTTTTCACACCCAGCTCCATCTTCATGCAACTTAGTTCACAGCTTAGACTTCTCTAAGAAGCCTTCCTTGACCTTTCTACTAGACTGGGTTAGGCCTCTCCTTCCTCTGTACCCCAGAAAAATCCCCAACTTCCCTCAACATAGCATCCATTACATTATGTTACAATTGTCTGTGCCAAATAAATAGCTCTTGAATAAAGGAAAGAACAAATAAACGAGGGGAACACTGAATACTATGTGCTTGTGAGGGATCCTTGCAGACTTTTGAGGCAGTGGAATTCTCCCACAGTATAGTTCAACACAGACATTAGCCACCCGTGGCACTGTGCACACACATCAAAAGGGCCTTCTTCCTTTGGAAACAAGTGTCGCTACCCAGGTAGTGGGTGTTGTGCCTCACACAGCATCTGCTTGCTCTGCTGGACTGCTTTCTGGTCTGAGATCTGAAGTACTCTAATGGGGGTGTGGGGAGGGCTATTTGCATAGAGTTTGGATTAAACCACCTTGTTTGGCATGAAGCCTTGCTGATTGGCAGCCAGACACAGTTCCCCTAATGGCCTTCTCCTCACTTGAAGCCCTGTGGGGAAGAAGCTAAGGAAAGAGGAGAAGTTGTGGCTTGAAAAAGAAATGGTGCTAGGATAACATGACGATGTGAATCATCTGCATCTGCCTGTTAATTCAGAAAGTTCTCATACCTCGTGTCTATTAAAGTTCTCATTGCCTCTGTAGTCCCTATTCCAGCTCTCACAACAGTTTTCTCCTTCTCTCATCCTCCCCTGAAGTGGCATGAAGAAAATCCCTGGGAGTGTGTGGTAGGTAAAGTAGATGCTGTGGTTGGTGTAGAGACCCTGGATCTGTATATATAGGAGTCAGACAAGAGGTGGAAACTCTCTCATTAGAACTCTGAACCCACATGCAAGGGAATGGTAGAAGGTCTCAGGTGCCTTATTACCTTGGTATGCTGCCTGTAGGCACATGAAGGGACCATGAGCTGGGTGTTCCAGGGCCAGTCCCTTGACACAGGCCCTAGTTCACAATGATATTCAATTTTTTTTTTTTTTTTTGGCACAACTCCCTCATGTGAAGAATAAGAAGTTAGGACTGGATGATGTCTAAGATGCCTTCTAGTTCTAAAGGCAGTAATTCTAAATTAGAGTTTAGCCAAATCTCTTTGGAGGGAGGGATGTGGGAGGACTGGAGTTGGGTGTTATAGGTAGAAGTTCCAGAGTGGTCTGGCCTGAAGGTACAGACAGTGTATGGATTGGGGCTTGACTTCTACTTATCTCTGCCATTTATGAGATAATCTCAAAAGGAAACTCTTTCACTTTTGAGCCCCTTCCTCATCCATCAAGGGGCTGACAATATCTATTACACAGGACTCAGCTGTTGTTTTGACCCTCTCCCCACACTAGTTGTTTTGTAAATAATTGTTGAGTACAAATATGGAGATTCTAGCTCCAAAACTGTTCTAGGAGTAGTAAACGGTCTTTTTCTTTCCTCTAATGATTAAGGAAGATGTTGCTGCAGTTTTCAATAACCATACCATCAGCACTAGAAGGGACTTCCCCCTCATGTAGTTTTACTCCACACATTTACAGATTAGAAAATTGAGGTCCAGAAAGGGCAGAGTGCTGCCTAGTGTCATGTAGTAAATCAGCAGGTAAGAATCCTAGCTATACACTAGCTGCATGACTATGGGTAAGTTACATACAGGACTCCTGCCTCTAGGCTTTTTCCAACCCACTAGGTGTCCTTTGTGCTTTGCTACTCTTTGGAAAACCTACAGTGGATGCTAACCATTTTGCCTCCTTAGGCAGGAGCTGAGTGGTGAGTGAAGCCAAGGAGGATGGCTATTAGGTCATTCTCTGAAGATGCAAACGAAGAGGACCTAAGCAAAGGTGGTCAAAGAAGATCCTCTCGAGGCAGACTCTGATTTAAACACACAACCCATAAATAAACATACTCTCTGTCTCTCACTTAGGCACACACGAAGCACGCATCCCAAGAATCTATTGTTCTCCTCTCCTCTCCATCAAGCACTGATCTCAGGAAAAATTTGAGAAATCCATCCATTCTGAGGTGGTCAATGATAAACATGGCTCAATGCTGGGTCCCTCTCAAGGGTTCTGACATTTTAACAGGAAGCAAAGCCAGAGCTTAAGAGCCCACCAGCTGTGTCATGTATGTTCTCACTAAATCCTCAACCCAGCCTAGAAACAAGGTATTGTGACAACCCTTATTGCAGGGGAGGATATGGAAGAATAGAGCATTTTCTTATTATTCCTTGACATGTTTTGTCACACCTCATTGACGGCTTATATGTCAGGCCCAAAAATTCAATCTGGAACCTCATAAGTACTCACACTGAGAGGTCGTAAGAAGAGGCCTCACTTGAACTGAAGAACCCAAAAGAATGCTGACTTAGATTTTACTTGGGTGGTTGAGGATGGTAAGGCCCCTGAAAATAGTGAGGATGTAAAGGAGCCCATTCTTTATCTGAAGCTTGGTTAGAACTGGGCAGTGATGTCACCATTTTATGCTCCCACAAGGATAAGGATGTGAAGGTGGGCAGCTGGGATTTGTGTGGCTTTTCCCCAGCTGACAAGTTTGGGGTTTTTCAAGAGAAGCTGGGATGGACTGCCAGTGTCCATCTGTGCTTTCTAGCCCAAATTCCTTGTTATTTTGATGGTCCCAGGTCAGCTTATGCTAAGGTCAACACACGGCAAATTTGTAAGCCTTGTGCAAAGATTTTAAAAAATATATGAAAATCAAAATAGCATAAAACACCACCAGGCATGATACCAACTCTTGACTGCAATAAAAACAACCAATAAAAAGAGCTAATTAAAAGAATTCCGATGACATTCATCTGAAGTTTTAGATTTCTTTATGTTTTAACAAATTAACAACAATGATAAGAGGACATTAGCAGCTTTTCTTGGTTCTCTTTGTTAACAGAAACTCAATCCTGCAGCCACAACAGGAGATGCAGCCAAGTTTTAGCTGGCAGACCAGCAAGCCAATATTTTACACAATGGATGGCATTTCTGAAAGCAGAGGCAGAGACAGACCCAAAGTCACACATGTAGTCCAACAAACAAATTTCTGCCATTTTTAATTGTATTTAGAGCAACAAAAGATTCCAAGATTACAAAAAGAGAACAGAGCACTAGCACTTGGCGCTGGTCCTGCTGCCCAGTGGAGGCCAAGTGCCACTGTGAGAACTGAGCCCCATCTAAAATTTCAAGCCAAATTGTTTCTTTTAAGAAAATCTTTGTATGATGCTTTCTTTATTTCCCTCTCTCTTTCGTTGTTTTTTTTCCTCCAACATTGAAAATTAATTCTTATCTCTGTTTACATAGTCTGCTCCCTCCTGTTGCCAGATTAATCCAAGGACGGCACAAGAGTATCATGTCTGAGGCACTCCCTAATCAGTGTTCTAGTCTAGAGGAAAGCAGAAAGGTGTCACTGCGTTGTGAGGGGACTTCTTTTTTTTTTTCATGGGTCATTCGGATGGTGGCTGCTCTCACCATCCAAAAGTGGCTTATGGGCTTGGACAACCCCACAGGCACTTCACTGTAGGACAGTTAGCACCAGGGGGTAAGATTGTGAGAAAATGCAAACCTGGCTTGTCTCCTCTGCAGAGTACAGGTTCCCACACTGTGAGGCAGCAGCCAGAGAGGGAACCACCAGAGAAACAGTATTTCAGAACTGTCTTTCCTTTGGTGTATGGATACGTGTGCATTATAGTCTTTGGTGGGCAATGGAATCTGCAGCTACATGACAATCTTATTAAGTAGCTTATGTGGGAAGTGCTTCAGGTCACAAGGACCACCCGTTCTAAGGCTTCTCATTTAATTCCACAGGCTAAGAGATGGGTGAGGAAAAGAAAAAACCCAGTACCCTGCTACAATGAATTGGAATCAGAAGCCAATAGATGCATATTACCTACTTTCTGGCCAAATTAAATGGGGATAAATCAAAGCTGAGTCAAAAGCTGTGTTTTACTATAAAATTCCACCTGCTAAATTCAAACACCTACCACTCTTTCTAGGAGTAAAAAAATTCCAAAAGATTTGTTATTGCATCTGAAATGTCTGAAGAGGATTCACTAATATGGATTTTTCTGCCTTCACCTAGAAATGGTTGAGTTGTGGAGGCCCTGGGCAACAGGTCTCAGTGTCAATCTTTGTCAAAGAAAAACACCCTATCTGTGGGCAGAGTTGGACCTGCACCTACAGAGATACAACTTCCAGTACACTGACAAGTTTTAACAGAGAAAAACACATTTTCATTTGTCAAAATCTTCACAGAACATATCCAAAATCAGAATTACAGCACACATACACCCAGTAACAAGAGCACCTCAATCACAGGTGACGCAATTTGTGTGAAACATGGAGCGCTTGCTCCAGGTTCCAATGCAAGAAACTGCCTTTCTCTCACAAGGATGGTGAAGACCAAGGAACAGTTCTCTTCTCCCAACATGTCAGGTCCCATTAGGAGGCCACTGGCCAATCACTTGGGTAGGCTTTTGGCCCCAAGTCTGGGCCTTCCCTGTGGTAAATTCTAGCCACTTCCAATGGGTTTTTGTCACCCTTTCCAAATTCATCTGTCTTGAACTAGTAAAGTACAATGCATCATGTTGTCTACTCTTTTTCTCCCTCTGCCCTTTCACGAGACCTGTAGGTCAGACGCAATAGGGGAGAAAACTTTTAGTTATCTGATCAATCTAGGTGTCTTGTCTGTTCTGAGAGAGCCTCCAAAACATAACTGCATCTTCTTTCACAAGTACATGGCATCAGGTGTAATCTGGAACCAAATATAAAGATGCAGAGAGAAATAAAGCTATCAGAACACACACACACACACACACACATGCACACACACACACATATATATATGCGTGTGTGCGTGTGTGTGTATATATGTTTATGTGTATACATATACATATATACATATATATTTCAATTTTGAAACATGAATACAAATATTCATTTACATTATATTTCAACCTTCTGCCTTCAACTGCAGAAAACTTTTTGTGCCATCCAAAGTGGGCAGAAATAAGGATTTCTGCCTGCTGTCCCTCTAGTGCAAAATCTAGTTATTTAAATGCTCACCTTATTAGCAAGGGTTTCACATCTTTAGATAAGATAACATGGGCACTAGCAAACACAGTGGCTAAGAACAGCTCCATCTCCAACCATGCAATGATGGAGCTTCAAGAATTTGCTTAGCAGCTATTAGAGAAAAGGAAAGCCAGTTCTGCTTATAAAATCACTTAGTGAAGGACCCATAATCCCATTTTCCCCAAATTATTTTCAACTCTTCTAAACATGTATATTACTAGGGAAAAAAATCCCACAAAGCTCTTATAAGTCAGTCACCAGCAAAGTCCTTTAGTCTGTCTTTGGATAGCTTATCAAAGAGGCACTAATGCTTGCTCCCTCCCTGTCCTTATAAATTTTGGTATCTTAGCAAATACAATGTAATCTTTGGTTACATAATGTGATGCTTTCATCTCTCTTTTAAAAAACTGCTTTAAAAGATTTTCAGAAAGATTAATGGTGAGAACAGATTTGCCTACAAAGACAACAGGGGTAGAAGCTTCCTTTTCCAAGAAATTGAACGTGCTGAATGGCTTATTTTGACTTTAAGTTTTGGATTTGATCTGGTGCTTTGGCATACCTGATTCCCATAACCTCTTGTAGTGGGTCAAACATGAAAACCACTCCCTTGGCCCAGTGCCCTCTCACCTGGGCAACTGGCACAAGATAATTCATAGACAGCCAGCCTCTTACTTTTCCAGGGCTATACAGGAGCCATGCTCCGGTAGTTACTGGGCTGTCTGGAGGGAGTCTCCTGAAATGCAGCTTTGGTGCAGGGCTGGGAAGGGGCAGAGGAAGGGGCTTGGGCCTTTATGCCCTGCCAGATATCAAGGGAGAGAAGGGGGAAAGGCCACATCTGTGCTGTGCCTAACGAAACAAGCACTTAGAAGCTACTTGAAGCTCAATATTAGCTCATTTGTGTCAGTATCATGTGGATGGTGGACATATTTTCTCTTGAAGTACAAGTCAAATATAACTTATTGTGTATGCCTATATGTATTTAGAAGTAGAGCATGGACAGAGAGGGACTCAAGCATCAGCACATTATTTCTCAACCTGGACAATTACCTCAACAACTACCCAAAGGACAGAATGAAGCTCTCTCTACTTTTTTTTTAGTGCCAGTGAACGTACATAAAAATATATGTATTACAGAATTTCTTTTTTCAAAGATATATGACAGTCCTTCAAAATATCCCTTTCTCATAGTAAGGGAATTAAAAAAAATAATAAACTTTCCAAGAACAACAATATTGCCTATGACATAGAAAAAGCTGTGAAACAAAGAATCCAACAACTCCCATGTCAGCTCAGAGGCCAGGCCCAGGTGAACTGCCCAATGAATGAGAGCTGAAACTGCCACATGACTCTTTTCTTTGACTACATAGTTCATGGCCCTGGCAGCTGTCTGCTGCTCAGCATAGACAGGGCCTTTTCCGTGGTGCTCCTTCTTTTTCTATTCCTCACTCTGTGTCCACATCAAGCACTGCCAGCTTGTTTGGAGATGGTCCCCGTGACTTGTCCAGTGAGTGATCCTCATCTTCTAGCTCACCAGGTAAGTGGGTTTGAGTGGCCAGTCCTTCACAGGTGGGTATAGTATACCAACCATACCAACTCTGTTTGTAGAGCAGAGTGCATGCAAAATGAGACTTCTGTCAATTACACTGGCTGGAACATCAATGGCCATAAGAAAACAAAAAATCCTCCCTTTCATCCATGGGAGAACACAGCCAAGCTAAAATTTCCTATGTTCACTCAAATCCAAGCACAGAAAGAGTAGGCCTAAAGTCCTATGTAGGCTCTTTTTCCCTAGTCTTATCATTTGGAAATTTGGAGTAATCCAGTTGTTGCTTTTAATTACACTGCTGTTTCACTGATTTTTAGCTTTTGCAACTGAAAAATATATATTCATAAAGACAAGATTCATAATTGAGAAATCCATAAAGATGAAAAATTTGACAGAGAAATGGAAAGGAGAGCTTCTAGTATTTACAAGGAGAGATATGAGAATGATATAATTCAAGTCATGTACCACAAAAGATGAAAATCATTCCAAAACAGATGTAAAGGACCTATTAAAATGTAACCTAGTGTAACTGAAAAAAGTGGTGCATTTTTTTCTGTTTAAAATCGCTAAAAGTGATCCTGTACATGAGCCAGATGGTGTAGTAATAAAGAAAACCAGAATGTGTCTATTCCACCCCAGAAAGGGAACCCGTCAGCTTTAGTTTTGTCCAGCAGTCTTGGATTGGCATATTGCTCATCTTTGGTTCCCCTCTGCCTTGTTATTTAAAGAAGCTGTTTTGCAAGTTCATTTGGCTATTAATATCAATGAAGAAATCAGTGAAGGAAAAGACCCTTGTGGATCATATCATGTCACTCAGAAACTGTTCTCTCAACAGAGTGAACCAATTAAAATGGGCAGCTTGGTGACTGGCCCTTGATTTCTTGAGTTCAACAGATGAGATTAAGAGCTAAGTAAGAAGGCAGTGGCCAAGATGAGAAAGTAGGTGGACATTTTCTCTTGCACTTGGGGTTGGAGAATGAAGTCAACAAGAACACAGGTGTGCCAAAAGGCTATATAAAATCACTGTCCCAGGGGCACACCCTGAGTTTTCATGGGTGGCAATGTATTGAAGCTGCACCAACCAGACCTTTCCAAAATAAGTCATTGTACTGTAGAAAGTCTCAATGGTTCAGCCTCCTTCTGACTAAGGGGCAGCAACAAAGGTAGGGAATCTGAGTGAGTATGGGCAATGCCAGAGCCCAGAATCAGCAGCAGAGGAGGATGATGAGTAAACACACCAGATGGTGTCCATCTGGCTTTAGGCTTTGCTGCTGAAGGTTTTAATTTAGTAGTCGGAGTCTCCTCTTTGTTCCTTCTCTATTCTCTTGACTTCTGCAGGTGTATATGCTGGGTGGCAAGAAGAGCATTTGTAGTTTCTGCTTCTAATGCCTTCAGTCGTCCCACCCTGGTAATGGAGTTTTCTCTTCAACGCTGATATAAGCAGCCCCTTTAGCTGCTCTAAAGAAGGAAGTGAACACTTCTTCACTTGCTGGGAGGGTATCATCTCTAGGGGACAAGGGCAAGACGCCCAGCTTGTCTGATCCCTTTGATGCCTTCTTTCCAGTTTGTCTAAGGGCTCCAGCAATCTGACAGTTGGTAAGAAGTCTTCGCGACTACTGGCATCTGCAGACAGATGTCAGAGCTGTTGGCCTGCTCACCTTCTGGGTGGTGGGGGCTCCTAATAGACAACATGTGAACATGCCCAAAAGAAGTGAACAGGCTTCACCACCACGGCTGAAATGCAGTGTGATGAAGTTCAGGCCCACAAAACACTATAGGTAGGATGGAAGGTGCTTGTGGCTTCATGGAGTTTGGCAGAAAACTTCATTCAGGTCTTTTCAAGGTGGGGAAAAGGTAGTGGCAGTGAGAGTTCAACTATTCAGTCAGTGTCCTAAGCAGGAGAACAGCCAAAGTCTATTTTTTTCCCCTCTGACTTCAGCTTCTTCCTGACTGACACATGAGAAAGCAAACCTGGATCCAAGTGGGGCCCTAGAAACGGTTAAATTTCTGCTCTCCTTCTCAGTGGACTGACTCTTCGGTGAAAGTCGCCGAGTTTAGGCTAAAGAGAACGTTCAGTTCAAAGGTCTTAGAAAAACTTTTGAAAGTCAGTTTGAGGGTGGAGGCAGAAGAGTGAGAGAGAAAACGGTTTGGGGGTGAGGCGTTAACATGCAGACAAATTTTCAACAACAAGCACATTTTCAGTATAATGAATTGCTCTATAGTTGAGCCGTCTAGCCCCCAGGGGCCAAGGCTGTGGGCAGGTACTGAGATCTATCTTCCCTCCTTGTTCTCTCCTCTCTCTGTCCACTCCACTGCCCAACTCAGATCTGGGGTCACCTTGCCCTCTAATGGCAATAGCCATTGGTAGAAAATAAAGTCTCCCGTGGAGGGAGGAGATGAAAAAATCAGTAACTCCCCATGGGCCTGCAATTTTCACCTTCTAGTTACTGTTGGCCTCTTTGGGGATTTCTATATGTTTATTTATTTATTTATTTATTTTTGAGGAAGAAGAAACACTAGCAAGGTTATTTGGCTTATTTTTTGTTTTGTTTTTGCCTTTTTTTGTTTGCTTGTTTTTGTTTTTGTTTTCCCCAGATAATCTGAGCTCTCTAAACTTCCCGTGGCATAAGATAAGTAAACGTTTGTGTGGCTGGCACACAGAGTAGTGCTGTAAACAAGCACAACTTGACACTGGGCCACATGAGGATCATCACAGATTTAAAGGCATACAACACCATTGAAAACACAGATAGGAGCCACAACGGGGAGCAAAATCTGAAGGTGCCATGGGAGGGTCAGATAGGGAAGGAAGAAGAAAAAGAAAGGAGACAAAGAAAAAAAAATCCCAGCAAATAGAACTCAGAAACATGTCCATGACACTGTACATCAATAGAGGAAATTCCCCAAGGCACTGCAAAGGAGTAGTGCAGAGTTACAACAGGCAGAAGACATCTGAAAGAGGGTACGGAGTGGGATGGGGAAATGGGGGCTTCCAGTGCTTCACTGGGTGTGGAAATAGATGGGCTTGACTTTCCCAGAAAGGATCTTGGGCACTTGCACAGAGATGATCTCTGCCATCATTTCTGGAAAGTCCACGCTCACCATGTGTGACTTGATTAGCAGGTCAAAAGTAAACTGATGCAGCTCTCTTGCAATCTGCAGGGAAAAATAAGAGAGAGAAAAAAAACAGGGTTGACAAGGAGGTAGCCTCTGCTAGATGCTTCCCCAACCTCTGAGTTTTGATCTTTCAGCCTTTTGCTTCCTCCCCCTTCCTTCCTTGGTCCTCCCCTGAGGTTGTGCATGTGCGTGTGTGTGTGTGTGTGTGTGTGTGTGTGTGACAGAGAGGGAGAAAGAGAAAGAAAAAGGGAGAGAGGGAGAGAGAAAGAGAGAGAGAAAGAAAGTGAGAGAGAGAAAGAGAGCAAGAGTGACAGAGAGAGAGTGAGTGAGTGAGAGAGAGAGAGAGAGAGAGAAATGGTCTCCATGGAGTCTCTGAGGGCTCACAAGAGATGTCTTATACCATTGCAAGCTTTCTGACTCAGGACTTCTTCGGTACCCCAGCCTCTGCCCTCTCTCTCTGTCTGTCTGTCTGTCTGTCTCTCTCTCTCTCTCTCTCTCTCTCTCTCTCACACACACACACACACACACACACACACACACACAAACACACAGACAAACTCACATGAACATGACTCAAAGTAGAGGGAGAAAAACACCCAGGTCTATTTTGTCTGCCTGGAGAATTCATCTGCTGTAAGTCCCTTCCCTGAGTCCCACTGCTCTGTTCTCAACTCCTCCACCCCTTTCACAATATCCAGCTGGGACACTGTGACCCGTGTTTCTCTCTTCACCACATTTTCTTCCTGGACCACACTCAAAGCCAGAGGGGAATGGAAGCACCTCCCAACAGGTGGTGCCAGATCCTAGAGAAGCATATTATCATTTGGCTCTATCAGGCTGTTCTCCCTGATAAAGGACCCTCCATCATTTGCTTACAGGCTGCACAGAGTCCAGGAGCTTGGTGAGCTGGTAGAAGCGCCTTGAGCAGGATGTGGGATTTTTTCTTTTGCATGCAATGATACGATCGAGTTCCTTGATGTAGTTCATTCGAAGTTCATCAAAGAATTTTTGATTTTTCAGCCCATCCACTGGAACTGATGTGGGATGAAGACAGAATGGGGAGGGGAAGCATGCCCACGAAGGAGCATTAGACAAAGCACCAAGTTTTCTGACCACAAACTTGACCCCCACCCCCACGGGGAACCATCTGCTTGGCTTCCTGTTAGTTGAATTCTGTGTGCCTGGGGCCTTCAGTCTGTCAGGGAGATCTCAGGGGAAAAAATAGCTGGATCCGATCTGAAGTAGTCAAATAAATCTAGTTTCCTGAACGTTTCCTTTTCTACTCTTTTCATATACTCATTTTTTGGGAACTAAGCTTTTATGTCATTCACAGTCCAACTCTGATTTAGACAACTAAAACACATAGCTTTGAATATCCAATTTTGCCTTTCTCCCTCAATAGGAGCTAAGAAAGGGCTCTTAGAAAAGACATTAAAGAAAGTTCCTTGGCTGCCAAACAAACCCTATTTGAGTTGTGTACATAGACCTCCTCCTGTTGGCGAAAGAGGAAATCTTTCTAGGAGGAAATGCCTCCTGCTCCACTGTCCTGCAAGGAATACAAGGTGGTCCACGTCTGTTTCTAAACCAGAAGCTGTGGAAAAATTCAGAGACCTGCTATAACCAGTCAAAAAGTTCTTGTTCCAAAGAGAGACTGGGGATAGATGGGGAATCTGATGGAGGTTGAATTCTTGCCAATTAATTGGCTTCTAGTCATGAAATTGTTTCTTGTTAGGAAAATGATGGTGAGGGAGAGTAGAGTGGGGATGGGGCATGGGGAATGAAGAAGGGAAATGTCCAGGAGCCGGCTTCTCTCTGATAACCTTTTAATGGCAATAGTAGTCCCCTCTGAGTCTCTGTGTCCTCAGGGGCATTCCTTGCACATCTAGGCACTTACTAATGCTGAAGAGTAGCAGTGCTTTCATGCACAGAAATTCCTGGGGGGTGATTTGGAGCCATCCAAACTCTTGAGAGAGGTGCCTCATTCGGACACACTGGCTGTACATCCGGGACTTGTGCATGCGGTACCTGGGAAGGAGACACAGAGGAAGCAGAGGAATAAGCAGAGGCTTGCAATAAGCTCAGAGGGAATGTCTCTGGTTGTCCTCCCTCCCCAGGTTCTCCAAGAAGAGCTTGCTGTTTCTCCTGCTGGTGCTTCAGGGACAAGGAAAAGGTTTTTTTCTCTCTCTTTTCCAAAATCCTGACATCCTGATAACTACTCATCTTCTCTGGCCAGGATATGGGTTAGCGCATGGAATTTCCAGGTCTCTGTGCCCTTTCTGTTTTCTGAGTTGGGGACAGGAAAGCCTAACCAAATAAACACAATGGTGCAGGCACATGGTCTCCCTGACTGCAGTTCTAATATCCCAGCTACAGCCAGAACCAGAACCTGCCTCCCAGGCAGCTCAACAGTAAGGATTTTTAGGAGAGGCCCCAGTAGTCAGCTCTTAAATTCTGGACACTAGGATTCACAAATGACCCGAAGTGTTTGGTCATCCTGTTGACCCCTTTGCCTCTGGCCTGGAATACTAGAAATTTAATATTTCTTCAAAACTCCCAGTGAAGGAGATTCCACATTGTTCTTTCAAAATGAGTTCCAATGTTAAATCTGCCAGGGAGTGTTTTTGAATGTCTAATCTAAATGTCCCCTGCTGAAGAGGAGTCCATTCCCTCATATGCTGGCTGTTCCTTTCCACAGATTAGGAACTTTAGACATATGTGAGCTGCGTTTATTATAGTCACTTGTGAACAGATCACCACATTATCACCTATAAATTATATGGGGAAGTGGCCAAGGCTTGGCCAGCTTTTCAAGGAAGAGCAACCTCTCGGTTCCATGGCTGGCCATGGCATACCTCTAAGAGAAGACACAGCATCTTCATGCTAGTAGGTCTTCCGGTTTTCAGCACTTCAAAAATCCTCTGTGTGTGTGTGTGTGTGTGTGTGTGTGTGTGTATGTGTGTGTGTGTGTTGGTGTGTGTGTGTGTGTGTGTGTGTGTGTTTAAGACAGAAATTGACTGTGTGTGTTTAAGACAGAAATTGATTGTAGGTGTTTAAGACAGAAATTGTGTAGCATGTGCAGAAAGGTAAGGAAATTTGACACACACTTAAGTGGTGAAGACGAAGACCTCCCAGATGGAGCCTAAAGGCTGTGGTTTGACATTTTGGTTTCCAAGCCACTAGCCTACTCCACAGGATGAGCAGGCCTGGTATTGTCTGGGTGGAAGCTCAGCATCCTATCTCAGGGATCTTGGATGTCCTGGAGAAAGAGGGAAGGGGGCAGATGGTGTAGAATTATTCAACTCAAGCTGAAGCCAAACTGGAAAGAGGAAGTGTTTAGATGGTATCACAAATCAATTGAGCAGAACAGTGTTGCTCCAAGCTCTTTCACTGTAGAGAATTTTTTAGTAAGATTGGCTGACCCTGGGGTCTGGCCCTGTTCCAGTCTCCAATATACTTTCCCACCTCTGTTGACGACAATACTGCAATCTTTTTTTTTGTTTTTACCACTGAAATCACAATCCTGAAATAAGAATTCCTACAACATTGCTGTGGGACTCAGGAGCAGAAAAGGTAGGGAATGTGGGAAAGAGAAGGGAAAAGGAAAGGGAAGAAATTTGTAGGGAAAGGGAACAAAAAAAGGGAAAAAGAGAAAAAAGACTAGGGAAAGATTTAAAGGAAGGAAAGAAAGAGCGGAGAATGGAGGGTAGAAAAATGAGGCAGGAATGAAATTCAGGAGGAGAGCAGGGTTGCTGGGAGTGCAAGAGAGAAAATAAGAGGAGAAATAAATATTGGAAACCACTGAGCACAGTGCCTGACACATAGCAGGTGTTCAATAAATGACATGTAGGAAAGTGCTATTATAATTCCCTCAGCATTCTCCAGATAAAATTTGAGGCACATAGACGTTCAGTAATTTGCCCAAGGTCACACAGCTAAGATTCAAGCTCATTATCCTCACAACATGTGATCTCTACGAAGAGGAAAGGAAAGGGAAAAAAAGGGCTGATAATAGGGTGTGATGTTGAAGAGATTAACAAATGAGTTGACCTACCTTGAACAAGTTCCTATCTCTCTCTTTAGGTCTGAGACTCCCCATTAGCACCTTAGGGAGGCTGGCAGGGATTAGTCGCTCTCAGCTGGAGAGTACTGCCTCTTCAGTGGGTGTCAGAAATGTGTGGGAGCAGTTTAGGCTTTCAGAATGACTAGAATCCTATTTGGTACAGAGTAGGCTGGTGCCAGGTATGTTAGCTATATTCTACAGTGACAAAATTATTTTTCCCCAAATGTCAGCAGAATCCATGTTGAGAAACACTTATCTAGATGCTTGTAGATACTCTGAGAGATCTAACATAGTGTCTTCTTACAGGAAGAATAGGGATCCTATTGTTTCAGGAGCCCTGGAGTTTGGTGGGTCTAGGCCTCTGACCCTGTGGGGAGTCCTTTGTATGAGATGAACAACACTGGACCAGAACGCTGAGGTGGGATGGCAAATGCTTACTCAGAGGTAGAGAAGGAGATGAGGATTTAGAGAACAACCAATTACCACCTTTCAAAGCTCCAAAGGTCCCAGGGCTCTGGGGAAGCAGTAAAGCATGGATTTGATTCAATTCTTAAGGGAAACAGGGGTTTGAGGTGGGAGATGAACAGTTAGGGGGCTTTTTAAGGCCTGCCCCAGAAGATGGCATCATAGGCAACTTTTTGGAGGTCTGAAAACTACAAAGCAGTTTGTGCCAAAAGTCCAGTGGTTATTCTTAGCTTCTGGCTACCAGGCTGGCAGGGTTGGGAGAGGGCAGCTGGGGACGCTCACTCTCCTTTGCAGGGCAGTGCTGTACTGGAAGGAACCACTGGCCTGTAGATGTTATTTTAAGACTCTTCTGGGTTAGAGGACTGAAGAGGGGGAAAGGTCAATTCCTGTCCTGACTGGAAGGATTCTCTGTGGTGAGACTAACTCAAGGTCCTTGGGAAGATTTCTCTGGCCAGCTCCATTCACAATGCCATCGAGGGACCTCATACAGCAGACATAGAAAAGATTACCAAGCCTGGCTGAGGTGGGAAGATCATGAGGTCAGGAGTTCGAGACCAGCCTGGCTAACATGGTGAAGCCTCATCTCTACCAAAAGTACAAAAATTAGCGGGACGTCATGGCATGCGCCTGTAATACCACCTACTCAGGAGGCTGAGGCAGGAGAATTGCTTGAACCTGGGAGGCAGAGGTTGCAGTGAGCCGAGATCGCACCACTGCCCTCCAGCCTGGGTGACAGAGCAAAACCCTGTCTCGGGGGAGTAGGGAGAAATAAAAGAAAAGATTATCACTATTAAGGAAAGGGTGAATCAGAAAGGATTTTTTTTTTCCTTCTTGCCTGCTATGGGCCAGACATTCCATATCTGTCAGTTTCATTTATAAACTTTCAGTAAACTCTAGGGTCTTTCCTAAAGATGCTGATTAAGAAAATAGTAGAACTGAGATTTTAGTGGAGAAAAATGTAATTCCAAAATCTGAGCCACTGGTCAAACTCATGATGTTATAGATGATATATAGAGCTGGTGGGAGGGCAGGTATTAATTAAACCTGTTTAAGAGAACGAAAATGGCAGGGCCAATGTCACACAGTCAGAGAGTGGTAGACGTACTCTTCCCCATTAGTTACAACCATGAGGCAGAAGAGCTGGGATTGGCATGGACATACGTTTGAATCTTGTCTTCAACAGGCACTAGCTCTGTGACTTTGGGTGAGTCACTTTATTTTGCTGAGCCTGACTTTCCCAGTCCATAAAAACAATAGTGTTCTTTATAAAAAGGGGAGGTCAGGTCACCATGAGACTCAATGAAATAGGATTTAGAAAGTATCTAGAATGATCTTGACACTAACTAGTTGCTCAGCAAATGATGACTGGCCGTAGCCCTTGGTGATAGCAAAATAACCTAAAAATCTTCAGCCCTTAAAGTCAGAGCCTTTCTGCCTCTTTTATATGTTGCTCAAAGTGAAGGGGAGGAATCTTTCCATGTGCTTTTGAGACAAGCTGCAAAGCAGACCGGAAACATGACCAATATACCGGGATTTGTTCTTGGGTGGGAAAGGGGTGGTCTCAGCATCATCCTCTTCGCATCCTACCAGTTGGCTAGAAAGCCAGGGCTTAGCCACCTCATGCTGCGTTAGCTGGCTGGGGCATCCACTGCCACACCTGCAGGTCAAATGAGCTAAGTTTCACTGTCATCCCCATCACTATCACCACCAACCAGGTCTGGCCAAGCTGCTGTATTTTAGCGAGGTCTGTGCCCTAGGAGCGCTTACTCATTGAAAACCAGATCAGGGGCGAAGTAGAGCATCCTGGAGTTGACGTTGGTGAAGGACCGCCAGCCCATGGCAAACACCATGAGCCCCATCCAGGAGTACTGAATGACAGCCATCTGGTCGTCCACGTGTAAGTTGCGGAAGCCTGGAGAAGAAGAGGCAGAGGCAGTGGTCAGTCTGGGTACTGATGGGCTGAGTTAAGTCTGAGCTCCTGTTGGGCAGAGATGCTCTGGCATTTGGGCATCCCCTAAGGATCCCCAGGGACCATCCACGCTGGCCACTAAGGGGTGGTGGGGAAAAGCACAAACCGTATGGTGAGGATAATATTCTTTGCCCTCCGTACTTAACTGAGGTGCTCAAATGAGATAATGATGGAGACGAAAAGGGAGTCAGTTATAAGAGAGAAATAATATAACACTTATTGACTGCTTACATGAGTGAACTTCTTTTTTCTTTTGATTTCTATTGGGCTGCTTTTTTTAAAAAATAAAAATTATTAAGGGTACATGATAGCTGTATGTATTTATGGGATATATGTAACTCTTTTCTAAGCACTTTACTTATATTATCTCATATAAGCTTCACAACAATGAGTAAAGTAGGTACCATTATTATCTCTAATCTGTGAGCCTGTACAAGTGAGTCAGAGAGAGATTAAGGAACTTGTCCAAGATCATATGGCTAGTAATTGGCAGACCAGGTTCTAAAGCAAAGCAGTCAGACTCCAAGGCCTGTGTTCTTGATCACTCCACCTTTTTGAAGACGCAGTATAATAATCATTTCTCCCACATGAATAGCAGTTTTCACTTCACAAAGCTCTTTTCTAGCTATGATCTGGTTTGACCCTTCTAACAACCCTGGCAGATTGATATTACATACAGTGTATAAGGAGATGTCTTGACAGCCACTGCCTCCTATTCACCACTTTCAAATTTCCTCTCTTGTGTCCATCCCACTCTCTGCCTGGCACTTCCCTCCACTCTTTTATACTCAATAGGTACCTTGACCCTACTAGTTTCCCATTCTACCGCCATCCTGATCTTACTGCCATCATTATACATGAACAGACCCTTTATGACCTGCCTACCTAGACTGATCTTGCCAGTTGCCTTCTCATATGCCTCTATATCTCCATTATCTCTGCAAAGGCAGTTTCTTTTGCCTAGAATGCATTCCTCCTTCCCAAGCCTTTCATTTGGTAAACACCTACTCATCTTTCCAGTCTTCACTCAAAGGCTACCTCTTCTATGAAGCCTTTTCCAACTCATCTAAGAAGAAAAGGCTTAATGATTCTTCTTTTACCTTCTCATTGCATCTTGTGTAGCCCCACCCAATTACAGCACTCATTACATAGCACTGAAATCTATGTATGTGTATGTATGTCTCCCCCACAAGACTTGGAGCTTCTTGAAGACATGGACCATATCTTCTTATTCATCTTTGCCTCCCTAGTATATAGTACGGTCCACATATTTGAGTGGACACTTTAGAAATATTACTTAAACAAATAGCCTAAAGACCCTCATTTTTTTTTCCTTTTGTAAAATGAGAATTAAATGATCTCCAAATTACCTCCCTTAAGCTCAGAGAGCAGAGGGTCCCAGATGCTACCTCCCAAATAACACACAGGTAGAACAGACATGGCCATGTTCTCCTGGAGGTTTTGAAACAGTTGGATGATTAAAGTTATAAAGGCATCACCTCAGAGCTCATCCCTACCAACACTCTCTTTCTCTTCTCACCAACAAATCCATGATTATCTGAAATTTTGTCATCATATCTCATTAGGAATGCTTCCCCAAATTTAGATCAAACTTCTCACTTTCCTGTTGATGACCTCATTTAACTCTCACAATAATCCAAGAGGTTAGGTGATGTGACACTTATTTTACCAACAGGAAACCTGAGGGCCAGATAAATAAACTGACTTGCCCAAGGTCATATGGTTTATATGTGGCTGAACTAATACTAGAATCCTGGTGTTCCGATTCTCTTCTCCAGTGTTTTTTTCTACTCCACTGCTTCTACTTCACTACCAAGGTCCCTAGCTTTTGTCAGTCATAGGCTTAGGTCTGAAGTCTACATTATCCAGACACATTGTTCTGCTTGGTTGGTCCCTGTCCATCCATATAGCCTCATTTTCCTTTACTTTTCTTTTAGATCATAAGCCTTTTAGATATCAGGGATTCTAGAGTCCCTCATCTTAGCAGTCTTAGCTCCCAGGCCTGTGCCTCCCACTTTCACTGTAATGACACGCTGACAGACCAGCTGGATCCTCAGATCCAACTATTTCCTGCCTGGAGCCCTTCTGTAGCACAGAATGCCTGGGACTGACCCTTCTCAGTACGAAATAAAAAGCAGGGTCTAAGCATGTAGCAACCAAGGATCTTATAGAGAAGAGGCCTGGGAGGTTGAACCCTGAACATTTTGGGTAAGAGGCAGTGGAAGCAAGGAAAGCCTTTTGCTGGTGAGCCTTGGTCTTTTGGTGGAGTGTGTGAATGTGAAGACACATGGAAGGATGAGAATTAAACTGTACAGGTATCAAGGAAGTTGTCCATACTGATGCTTATTTTTTCTCCCTAAAATGCCACAAAATTAACAAAGAGAAGAGAAAAGGGAAAGCTTAATTTGGCCATAATATTAATTAACAATCCTTAATGAGAGCTGCTTAGCACTCAAGCCCAGTAACTGTGCACATATCAGCAATGTGGCTGGCTAATCTCCCTATAGTCTAATCTGATTATAATACCTGACTCTGTTCTCCAATGCCCAATCTCTGAAGTAGCCTCCATGACTATCAAGGGATGACTGGAGGAAAGAGTAGCTTCAGCCCTACAGATTTCCTTAAGTATGCATTCACTCAACACCCATTTGCCACTGTGTTAGGCTGTTCTGGAGAAACAGAGGAGTCATTCTCAGATTTTGAAATACATTAAACAGGTTAAACAGTTTCTTTGAGACTCTTTTCTCACTAGAATCCAATTGGCATCATAATTTTTTTCATGTGCAGCAGAAACTTGCAGTCTTGTGTTTAGTCTGGGAGAATGGGCTCAAAGAAAGGCCAGTTTGGAAATCTTTGCTGCTATGATGCATCTGCCAGCCAAGGTCTTCAGAGAAGACAATTTCATCTTGGGGTCCATGCATGAGCTTCTAGGCAAGGCAGGTGGCAGCTTAAATTGAGTTCAGTGAAGGCAGTGGCTTAACACTCAAGTATCAAAATAATAAACCAACATTTACAGAGCATATACTATGTTTCAGGCTACCTTACTAGGTGGTCTTTATGCATGATCTCTTTGTTGACAACAATTTGAAAGGTAGCAATTATTCTATCATCTTACAAATGAGGACACAGAGCACAGAGAAGACATGATTTGCTGAAGGTCACAGAACTAGTCCATAGCTAGGATTCCAAACCAGATAAATTAGATTCTAAATATACTGTGCACACCCAGTCTACTCACCCACTCCAAATTAATAGCTATCATTTATTAATGTGCCTGGTGTGCTCTCGTAGGCAATTTCCATACATCATTACTGTCACAGAAAACTTACAACAAAATTTATCTTATTAGGTGCCTAGCACAGTGCATCTTACAGGTCAGGAACTCAATCTGTTGAATTAGCAAATTACTTGAACTGGTAGGTAATTATAGATAATATGAAGAACAGGTCTTATGAAAGTGGTAATTAGCTTTCTTTTGAAGCTATTCTTTTAAATGACTTGGAGTCGGAGATCATTCAGTCTGACAAGCTAGATGGTGAACTGATACTGGCTTGCAGATTTGTTAATGTAAGGAGTGCGGGGCTTTCCGTCCTGGTGGTTGAGCCAAGGAAAGCCCCACTGACCCCAAGTCATACAAATTCTTCTATAGCGATTTGCATTACGCTATTGTCAAGATAACCAATTTAGAAACCCCAAGGTCTAGGTCAAGTTCTGGTTTCATGTGTTAAGTGACAAAATGGAGCAATTTAGTTAACCTGTTTGAGCCTTGGCATATGAAATGGAAAAAAATAGTTTCTATGATTCATAGAATTGTTGTGAAGAGTAAGTGGGATCATATGTATTAAAAAGCTCTGTAGCCTATAAAATGAGATAAGTGTTTGGAAACTGCTTGGGAAGATTAAACTTTGAATCTCTGTCAAACCCATGATATCAAAACATCTAGCTGAAAAGGTGATAAGAATTAAAGCAACCTTCTTGTTTTTCTTTTTTGTATCTTTTCCTCTCTGTGGGAACTCTCTGTTTTGGCACAGAGCATGTCAAGTCAGAGTCCTTGGGTTTCCTTCCCAGTGATCTTACTGGCTACTCAACGTCAGCTTCTCAAGCTGGTAAGGTGTGAGAGATGATTAGGGCTGTGACTGGGACCTGTGAATTGGAAATACAAATCTAAGGCTTGATAGCCAAAAGGCAATGTCTTCTAATGCAACAAGCCCACAGTATGACCCAAGTGGCCTTCAATGGGATGCCTTGGTCCCTCACTGCAAAGCCCAGAGCCACAGAACTGCAGTGGTGCTACAGCCTGGTGGGGTGGAATAATGAGAGGATTTGGAATCAGGAAAGAACCTGGGCTCAAGTTCTGGCCCTGTTATTTTCTGACCATGTAACTATAGGCCAATCACATCATTCTCAGAGCTTCCTTATGTGGTCTCTAAAATAGGAGAAAGAGTCTAACTTTATAGGATTCCTGTAAGAATCAATTCAGGTAATACATACAAAATTGCTCTGTTTACTATAAATTTCAACATGAATGGCAGTTATTATTGAAAGGCAGGTTATTCGTTGACTCCACAAGAGAAGGTTTGGTTGTTGATGTTTCAGAAGAGTCTGTGAATAACAATTGCAGGTTTAGGGGACACTTTAAGGAGCATATGCTTCACTGGTTTTCAAACTGTGCTCCTTGGAGCCCTAAGATTTTGCAACAGTGACCTGGGGCTTCCCTGGGATAGTGAGAAAGAAGCTGAACTGTTGAGGCCCAGGCCACAGACTCTGGCTTTAAAATCAACTAGCTTCACTTGTATCTGCGTACAATTCTTTTGAGAAATAAAGCACTTGCCTGCTAAAGGACAGTTTGTAAATCATTGGATAGAGGACCTCTAAGAATTCCTTAAGCTGTAACAGTTTAATAACCAGACTTGTTTAAACAACAGATGGCATAAGAAAGAAGTTATTTCCTCATCAATGGGGAACTTCTGTTATCCAACTTCTGTTAGACCAATACTTAGTAATTATTTCACTATCACCTAATCTTTCCTCCCATTATGATTCCTTAGGTAGTTTAAAGTGCACAAAGCATCCCTTGAAGCAAACATTGAAAACTGTCAATTTAGTCCAAACCACGCTTTATACATTATACAGACAGAGAAATTGAGACCCAGAAGGGGAAGGGATCACACAATAAGTTACTAGCAGAACTAAGAGTAGACCCGAAGTGTTCTGATTCCCAATCTCAAGTTGTTTCTGCCATACTATATTATGAGAGTTCTCATGATATAGCTCCTGAAGGTGACATTAAAGACTGAATGTCAGTCAGGCTGGAGATTATCTTTGGGTGAGCAAACATAGAAGAGCATCCTAAAGCATATATGGATATGTCTATGTGATTTGTGATTACAGGAAGATGTGTTGACCATGTCTGTGGGTTAAATGCGAAAGCATGACCGCTGTGCATCAATGTGAGCCACTCAGGATACCCTATAATGCTATCTTTCTCTTTGCTTTCTGAGTCTCAATTCCTGTATGTTTAAAGTGAGACTTATAACAATCCTGCTCCCACAGGGTTATGATGAAGACTGCCTGAGTTAATGGGCAGAAAAGCACTAGACATTGTGGCTGGCCCATAGGAGCATTTGCTAAATATGATCCCTCTTATCCCATGCTCCCACTTCCCTTTTCCTTACCAGGCAAGGCCTTGGCCCACTTGACCACATGTACAAGCTGTCTCTCTCCCAGTTCATTGAGGCTAGACAGCAAGGCTGCAAAGGAGTCGGGTTGGTTGTTGTCATGTCCAGCACACACCACACCTGGCTCAATGGCTTCCAGGACATTTAGAAAGATGGGCTGACATTCATAGCCTTCAATGTGTGACACTGTCAGCTTCTGGGTTGTCTCCTCATTGGGGCTAGTAGTGCTGGAAGCCTCTCCTTCCTCCTGTAGTTTCAGGTTACCAAGCTTCTTCAGCTTCCGGGCTATTGGGAAGGAAGAGACACCTGAATTTATCATCAGTGGTCAAAAACACAAAATGCAGCTGCCTTGTTAGAAAAACTGCCCGAGCTAAGGAAATCATCATTCTCCCTGGTCACAGACTCTAAACTCCTTAGGGACAAGTGCTCATTCATCACTGGTTGAATGTATAATTCATCATCCCAAATCCCTGCTAAACACAAATTTTTCACATCTTGCTTTTTCCTCTGATCCTTTTGCCAAACCAACCTAGAATATCCTTGAATTCAGCTCTGCCTGAATGCAGCCTTCAGTATTCATACCTGGAACCTTTAATTAACTCATTTACTAATATATTAATGATTCATTCATTCATTCGGCAGACATCCATTGTTAGACCTTTGCTTCTGGGTGACAGAAAACACACACGCCCTGGCCCAGTCTGGTAGAAGAGAAATAAATGGCCACAATCAATTCTGGAAAATGCTGCAATGGAGGCATCAACAAAAGAGGAATACATTAATCTTTTTACATAGGTGGGTTTAGAAAACACCTTATATAAAAGATAGTATTTGACCTAGAATTTGAAGATTGATGAGGATTTCACCAGGCAAAGGTGGGTAGAAAGGGCATAAACAAAAGCACTGAAGAGTGTTTGGGGACCAACTAGAGACTGGTATGGTTGAAGCATATATTGCATATGTAGGAAAGTGGTTAATAATGAGGCTGAAAGCAAAGATGGTGCTTGATTTTAAAGGAGCATGTATATCATATTAAGAAGTTTGGCTGGGTAAGGTGGTTCATGCCTGTAATCCCAGCATTTTGGGAGGCTGAGATGGGATGAGTGCTTGAGGCCAGGAGCTCAAGATCAGCCTGAGCAATATAGCAAGACACTACACCATCTCCACAAAAAATAGTAAAAACCTAAATTAGATGGACCTGGTGGTGCACATCTGCAGTCTCGGCTACCCAGGAGGCGGAGGTGGAAGGACTGCTGAGCCCAGGAGTTCCAGGCTGCAGTGAGCTATGATTGTGCCAATGATGCTCTAGCCTGATTGATATAGTAAAACTATGTCTAAAAATAAAAAATAAAGATAAAAAATAAGTTTGAGTTTTATCTTACAAGTGATAGACAAATACTGAATGTTGTAAATCAAAGGAGCGATGTACATGTGTCTATGTCTAGCATGTCTAGCAGATTGCTAGGGAAAGAGATTAGAAATGGAGAATGACTATATCTGTCTTTTGCATCCCATAACATAAAGTGACTTGGATTTTAATCTCTCTTTCTCTCTCTCTCTCTCTAAACACACACACACACACACACACACACACACACACACACACACACACACAATTTTGATAGTTAAAGCTCTTGGAGATGTAAAGGTTGCCAGGCACCTATATCACTGTAAATGATCAAATACTAGATACACAGTGGTTAAGAATTCAAGCATCAAATGGGAATGGGAATTTTAAAAGTGGCCTTGAAGGTCCTTTCCATCCTCAGACTATCAAATTCTATTCTATAATTTTGGGCTCAACATATGGTAATTTTCTGGTATTCCATTTCCCAATGAATACACATAGTTACACATAGTTGAACATGCACTGTAACATACACACTGATTTTTTTTTTTCGTTTTAGCAAAAGGGAGAGGGGAGGTGAAGGACTGAAATCCTCAATAGTATCAAACAAATGAGAGAATCTTTCTGCCTCTAACATCAGTCTGTAAAATGGGAACCATGTCAGGAGAGAGCAATTGGAGAGAATGATGTAAATAACATTATTTAAGATAACCACAATAATCTGAAACTCAAACCTTAAGAACCATCTTCCCCATGTGCTCTCACACACACAATTTTTAGAGGTCCTTAGGCATCCCGATGTTTACTTTGTGCTAGTTTTTTTAGAGTATTTATATCGACAGAAATATAAATAATTGAAAAGGTTGTAATTCTAAGGTCTAGCATTAGCAGTTGCACCGAGACAGACCATAAACCACTTTGTCTCTAATCCCTTTAAAGTAATAATAAATAAGAAAGGTAGAAACCAAAGAGAGAAGTTGATTGCTCAATTTAAATGGATAAATACAACAAAAACTGCTGCTCATCTGTTTCTGGTCCCTGTGGAAAAAGATACAACCTGGAACTGACTGTTTTTTAGTTTTTATTTATTTTTTGAGAGAGGATCTCCCTCTGTCACCCAAGCTGGAGAGCAGTGGCATGACCGAAGCTCACTGCAGCCTCAACTTCCTGGGCTCAAGCAATTCTCCCTCATCAGTCTCCCAAGTAGCTGGGACCAGAAGCATACACTACCACTCCTGGTTAACATTTTTTTGTAGAGATGAGATCTCATTATGTTGCACAGGCTGGTCTCAAACTCTGGCCTTAAGCAATCCTCCTATCTCAACCTCCCAAAGTGCTGGGATTACAGGTGTGAGCCACCACACCCAGTCTGGAACTGACTTTTAGTTCTAATTAGAAAAATAAGTCCTTTAATGCAAACTCCACTCATGGTGTTACTCAATAAATCACTACAAGAATGGATTACATGTTTGGACCAACAACTAGGATAGGGAATAGGAAAATGGTGGAGTTGGTGTTGCAAGAGGAACACAGAAGAACTCAGGGGAAAATAATAATGAAGCCTAGAAAACCAATCTTGAGTGTAAGACGACTTTGTCCAACAATCATTTCTGCAGGACTTGTGCACAGCCAGTAATAAGGAGATATGCACATCCACTGACAATTCCCTATCTCACCAAAGACACAGGCTGGAAGGTATGATCTGGGCCAAGGCCACCTTCTTGAGTTAGAGGCCTGGCCCCCACAGTATCTTGTCACTTGGTGAACTTACTGCAAACATGAGTTTTTTTACTCAGCTCCACAGACTGGTGGTGCCAACAGGATCTGCTCCCCTGCTATTAAGTTCCTACAGAAAGACGTCATCTTCTCCATCACTGATCTTTTCTAGCTTTGAGCTCAGGAGTTGCTAGGCCATTTAGTCCTCTTAAGGGTAACTACTATTTTTTTCAGGGCTTTCTGTGTGCCTCACTTCATCACATTACATCATTTAGTTCCACATGATCTTAGAAAGTTAAAGATAGTTCTTATCCTTATTTTACAAATGAATAAACTGAGGTAACACAGCTATAAAAAAAGTGAGAATCCAATAATCTGAACCTCATCTTCTGATTACAAGCCTATATTCTCTCTACTGCATCCCCAAGGAATCTGAAGCCCTGAACCCTACTTCTAATTCAAAAGCAGAATTGAGGAGTAAAGCCAGGGTTATATCCTCCCTGCCTCCCTTCTTCACCCTTGACTCCAAACTTCATAACTAGCGTCAGATCCAGGAGGGAAGAGATGGGAGGCTATGAGAATACTCCAGTAATCTTCCCAAACTGAAATAGATTTGGGACACTATAACGATTTAATGATTTTCAGCATGACAAAACAGGAAGGGTTCTTAGAAATTATCTTATCCAATAGTGGCAGATTCAAAGACCTTCAGGGTGTACATAGGCAATACAGTAGGGTGTGCGTGCATGTGTGTGTGGGAGAATGGTTAGTGCTCTGGTGACCTGGAATAAATGCCTTACTATGCCTGCAAGCGTGTATACACACACCTAGAAGGTATTAATAGATTTTAAAAATTCCTGAAACTTGTGTATCCCACAATTGAATTCAGCCCATAGCCACCATGTTTGGACATTTGATGTTAGTTAGTTTAACCTTTCAAGTTAAAGATGGGGAGGCTGAAGCCAGAGAGGGCAAGGTCACCTACTGGCAAAGCTGAGATTAGAGCCAGGGCTCTAATTCCCAATTCAGGATTCCCGATGTTATATTGACTCTCTTTTTGACTGACTTATTACTGCTGTATCTCAGTACGTGTCTCTTTCAGATCTTTCTACACTTGTACTGTTCAATATAATAGCTAAGTAGCCACATGTGGGCTATTTAAGTTTAGATAAATTATTAAACTATAAAATAAAAAGTAAAAAATTTGAAGAGTTAAATTAATTAAAACATTAAAAAATTAAGAAATATAATCCCTCAGTTTCACCAGCCACATTTCCAGTGTTCAAAAGCTACATGTAGTTACCGTCTGTATTATATTGGACAACATAAGATATAGAAGATTTTCATCATCTCAGAAAGTTCCATTGAATAATACTGTGAATGTACACTGTTCTCTGGGGCAGCTTTCCCATTTGTAATACCCCACTAAAGCTATTGATAATGAAGAAATGAATACAAATGGATTATACACAGATGAATCCATGGACTTTTTTTAAAAAAAAAAAGGTGGAGGGACACACAGAGCAATTGGTGACAGTGAGATCAGTGAGATATAATCTGTTATCTCGACTTTCCCACCAATGACTCAGATCTCCCTGGGATCATGACTCGTGAACCTAAGCAAACTCATTACAGGTAAGATCAATATGTGCAGAGACTGTGGGGAGAATCCATCAAGATGAAATAATTCCCCTTTCTCCATATAGTGCCAATGAGAACTTGGCCGGTATTCTCACATCCTCCTCCCCAGGCCTATATGGCATCTGCTTAAGGAAGAGAAGCTGCATTCCCACTTGCCTCCAGGACCCAGGTAGTGTGTTTGTCCCTATGACCACAGTGGCCCTAGCTGCATCAGGTGTTCTGGCTTCTCTGCCTAAAGAGAGTGACTATACTAAAGGTAATTGAAATCAGACTCCATTCACTCTGCCAGGGGATCCTACATTCTCTCTGTAGCACAAGCCAGGATATTGCTAGACGGCTTGGAATTCTGGATAATGAGGCTTTCTAGTTTCAGCTATTACTCATTGCCCAAGGACTTGTTTTCTTCCATGAAGGTCACCCCTATTCCTCTCCTGCCCTCTGCACCTGAGGCCCAGAGTCAAATCTAATTCTTCGATATAAAATACAGGTCAGATTGTCACTGTGTCAAGGCAAAGACTCATTGGCTTACTTAAATTTAGTGATAAAGCAAGGAAAAAGGGGGGCAGTAGAAGTGGATAGT